CCGCCCAAGACCTTAGAAGCTGGTGGTGACGCTGGCGTTGCAGTTAGGGCGCTGCCAACCACAAAAGACACACCACCAATCGACCCCTGAGCTACTGGACTGGCTACGACGGACTGCGTATCCTCTGATTCTTCTCGACAACCTCCGCGGCATCATCAGCGACTTGACAGTCAGGGGGCTGCCCTTTCGGGGCGAAGCGGATCTTATCATTTACTACGGAGTAGGCGTGTCCAATACTACTGCGTCACAAGGAAGAAAGGTTGGCACATCCCCTTGACTCCTTTGCGCGCCGTCGAAGCGGGTAGCTTATCAGCCCATCTTCGACCAGACCAGGAACAAGCACCAGGCGTTAAGGGGGAAGTGTGGACGTTGTGGATCCCCCGGTTCCACAGTCACAGCCACAGCCACAGACCAGTTGGAGTAGTCTCGCACACAAATAAGATGTTTCCTTCATATGCCGTACTATGTAAGAATGATACGCGCATGAAACAGAGCGCGACTCAGGATCCGGAGAAATTACTGCTTAATGATTGGAGGCCCCTATTTCTCGTCGAGTGGTACCCAAACGGCCAGCATTGACTTGAAGCGTCACCCGAGCCGGGGGCTTGTTAAACCACTACTACGTACTCCGTACGGAGTACTCCGTACAGATCTGTAGTTACTGGCACATTTACAGTATGTGGAAGATCAACCACAGTATTCTGTACAGTATCTGCAACCACACACAATACATGGTCATGCCATGAAATCGCCTTTTTTTTTCGTTGACCGTTAAATATCACGTTTCCAAGTTCCAAGTTTTTATTTTTCTTTCTTTCTTTTTTTTTTTTTTTTTTGGATTACAAGGACCAGCGGCAATTCCGACTTGCCGTAACTCTCAGGGATTATCCCAACTTGCAAGTTTTGTCGCCTCAAGGGTCCGAACAAGCTTTTCGACATCATCCATTGAGAATATACATAATATGCAACCCCTCTGTAATGTCCAACGGATCGGCTTCACCAATTTCTTGCATCATCTGGCGACGAGCCAGGCATGACGAGAGTTGGAGCGGATGAAAACCGAATTTACTTCCTGATACTGTAGCATGGAAGATTTTTTGCCCTTTTTCCTTACGAACCCTCTATGGTGGTTGAGTGGTTGAGCTACACTATAGGCACCACACAGCATGATTACGAGGAGGCAGAGGATTTGGCTATTATTTTTATATTCTCAACTACTACCAGGGACGGATGTTGCCAATATGGACGCATGCTTTGTTCATAATGGGAAAAGCCAGCTGCAGCTCTATAGTGGCTCTTTTTCTCGAGTGTCATATTGTCAATCATCGCCATTTTGATTCGTCGCATACTCCATTTTCCGCTCTCCCACCCCCGGGAATAAGACCGCAAACAGTATCGGCCTCATACAGTTTGTGAGAATATCCATATCCAAGTACAAGTCCACAGCATCAACAACAGTGGTGTGGACAACAATCCAAACCCAGTGGTTTAGGGGACGATTCTGCCCCATCATCCGCCCCCAAGAACGAAAAATAGAGAAACGCTACTATTTTAGCGAAACCTGAAAGTTCCCGAACTCTCCCCGGAGGACTCGACGAGCCATATCATAATCATAGAATCATGGAAGACAATACGCCCCAGGATCAGCACAGATGCAGTGTGGCAGGAACAATCACACTCCTCGCTCAATTTCCTCTTCGTCGAGGAGGTATCACCCTCCTACCAGAAGTATCAAACTGCAGAATTCATTGATTGGGCTTATTGCTGGGCCCCTTTCTTGCGCAGCTGCATACGTAATCGAGGCACCAACCGGGAGAACGCGGCGGTAGCGTATGCGTCCTTCGCTGGCGATGCTGTATAGAGGACTCTCGCGTAGAGAAGAACCTACAGGCGAAAATCCACAGCCGCTACCCTCTCTTTACTCTTTAAACCGAAGCTCGAAATCGAAACCGATGGTATACGTACAAAGAGCAGCTCGCTCATCGACTTCTCGCTCCATGGTTCGCGTGCAATGCCATCATCAGCGTAATCAACCCATCACTAGCGGACTACCACTCTTAAAACCACAAGGAGGAGCTTCAGATTCTAGCTTAGTCTTAGATTCGCCCAACATTTACCAATTGACTTATGTGATGGCTGGTATGTTAGGTACCGCCAAAGGACGATAACAACACCCTGCTTTGACGATTTCAAGCTCCTCATGGGCCTCCGGATGAAGGTACTGATGAGACACTAGAGGATAGGACCTGTAGCGATCCAATCTGACGAAAGCAGATAGCAAAATCTGTAGATATCGCGGGGAGGTCCATAGCAGATCATCGTAGTGGCTGGGAGCTAGGAGCTTATGAC